AGAGAGAGAGAGAGAGAGAGAGAGAGAGAGAGAGAGAGAGAGAGAGAGAGAGAGAGAGAGAGAGAGAGAGAGAGAGAGAGAGAGAGAGAGGATTTATCCTACCTCATGGTTTGAGCCTTCCTCGACATGGTAGGCTCTGATGGTTTTCTGTATTTTGTTTGCACCCTTCCTCTTGATTTTGGCCAATCGTGAGCCGACTTTTAACTCCTTTGCCCAGGCTGGGGCTGTGAAGAACACTTTAGATGCCATCCTCGGGTTAAAGGCGTGAGCTCGGAATCCAGAATGAACCACTGCTACCATGCCATTTGGTAGGGGACCCATATCGAAATTGATTTCCGGCAACACCGGCAACGTTTCCTGTGGGGGTTGCAGCTTGTTAGCTGTGTTGTCTCTCTGAATATCCGCATCCAAACGAAATGCAGTGGGTGTGATCCTTGGGACCCGAGTGTCTTGGTCACCCAGCGGCCTTGGCTCGGCATGATGTTCTCCTTCTGCCACACCTGGTGGAGGGCGAAAGGAGACCTCACTGACGTATAGTTGCTCCCTAAGTCTGTCCACTCGTTCCGAGATATCCTTTGCTTCAGGGAACGCAGCTTCCCTAGAGGCGTTGGATTGCTGCCACATGGCAGCATCTGCAATGCTCTGAGTTTTGGACTCTGCAGCCAGGATTTCCTGATGTGCACTGCAATAGTTGCCATCGTTCTTTCTGGTGTAGTTGGCTTGCTCCTTGGCATCGCTAGACAGTTTTCCTTCTTGCATCCCGCTACCAACTTCTCCCGTATTGCTCACCATTCTGACGTGTTCTACCTCCGGCAGCTGAGTTGCAGGCTGCAAAGTTCTCACTCCATTCGCTGACTGTTCATTAAGAGGGATGGCTGCTATTGAACTTTTGTCAGATCTCTCCTTCTCCATAATTTTCTCTGTGAGAATATGGAGACGAGCTGAAGCATAAGGAGAAATGGTGGGTGCCGGGGATGAGTCTCCCGCGACGCCGCTTACATCTGCTAAACTCTGCCTATCCTTGATTGCATCGACTCCAACAACAGGTGTTTCGTCCTCGTCACTGACTGCATGTGCACCTTGGTCGGATGGCGTTCGGCATACAGCGGCTGTTGATCTTCGGCCAACTTCCCCTTGCATTGAGTCAAACGAGGGTAGGAGCGATCCATCATAGTATGGTATGTTGGTGGTGGAAGGCTGTGTTGGGGGTGAGTGAATGAGAGTCCTAAGGCTTATTTGCTGCCTGACCACGTTGCCTGCAGACGTCTGTGGTTTGGTTTTGGACCCCGACCACAGTGCTTGACTGGAATCCTCTGTGCAAGCCACAGGCAAGTCAAACCACCTGCCCACCACATTGTCCAGCATGACATCTCCTCGAGACCCTTCTTTCTCTGGTGTTCGAGCCAGCGTATCGGAGACATGTGATCCAGCTTTCCTTCCTCCTTGTATTTCTTGTTGGAGACCAAGGTCTTCCTCGGCAGTGCCAAGTGGTGTAGTAGCTGTCCCTGCTGCTACCGGCGAAAACAAGATCATGTCACTGACCATGACCTGCGCTTGGGAATCCTCATTTGTCTTTATCAGCCGTAGGTTGTGATCGCTTGTCCCATCATCCCCTCCGCTCCCAGCGTGCAGCTCCGCGGACGGTGCTCTGGACTCTAGCCTGTCAGAGAGCGTATGGCCAGGTATACCAGGTCTCGGGGTCCAGGCATCCGTCTCTTCCATGCCTAACACTGAAGCTGACACAGCAGAACTATCTCTGGCCTCTCTTCTCCTCTCTCCTGGAATGACATCATCCGGCCCATGTAGGCTAGGTGTGATGGTGCCATCCGACAAGTGTTTTCCTAGCTCTTTGATTCGCTGACGGCATTCCAGTAATGTCATTTCAAGCTCTGGTGGGGATGACGGAAGAGATGCTTGCATACCGCCTGCAACTGTGGGGATGTCCATGAGTTGGCCCTGCGCCACTTTCCTGATGTCTCCCTTTCCCTCATCCTCCCTCTTCAGTGGCTTTTCTCTCTCTCTCTCCCTTTCTATATCCTCGATTTGGTACCGGTCAAGGTCTTTTGAGTCCGACTGTCTTCTCATGATGCCTGCATTTGATACCTTTGCTGGCTCAATGTGGTCATCCGGCTCTGAGAGGAGGAACCTTTCAACCATCAACGATTTGCTCTTCCTTTTCTCCCTTTCTTTCCCGCCCCCCTCCTCTCCTACCTCCATCATTGTGTTCTCTGGGATAAATTTGAATCCGCTGCCACTTTCCACCTGGGCACCCTCTATGTCTTTGACACCAATTACAGGATCAACGAACACCCAGTCCATATCATCATCATCATCCCTGTCGATGTGTATCTCTGATCCTCTTCCTCCTTCAAAGTCCCACTGGATATCGTCCTTTCTCCATCCTATCCTGCTCTTCCTCCCGTCTTCCCTCGAGATGAGATCCCAGGTCCTCTGCAAATAACGAAGATGGTTATCTCCTTCACTGATCAGAGGGTGATCGATCTCCTTCTTCCCCGGTTCCAGAGCACCGAGCAGCTGGATTGAGCTGCCCTTCCTCAAAGCGGGCTCTTTCTCTAACTGCTTTTCCGAGCCTGCATCCTCGCACCTTCCCTCTCTCTCTCTCCTTGTCTCCAGCTTACTCAAAACCGGAAACTGATGTGGCAGCAGGAAGTGTCTTGCCTGGACGGTCATCTCTCGTTCTTTCCCCAGTACAAAGTTGCCTTGGTGTCGCCTTAAGCTCGCCGCCACAGCCTCTGCATTTTCTAGGCTATGACTGAATGACATGATCCGTCTGTGCTCTTCTTTCTCCTCCTCACCCATCTCTTCAGAATCATCACTGACCTCTACGAAATCCCAGTCTACCACCGGTCCCGGATCTGACCTTGCAGGATGAGCTCCACCCGCAGGAGAATCCTCTTGCGGACTGCGCATCAAATCTGTTTTGAAATGTGACCGCCATCTGGTACGCAAGGGAGAACGAGGTTGTGGCATCGACTTTGTTTTGCTCAATAGCAATGTGAGCTTTTGTCTCCATGGTGCATCTGACTCCTCCTTCTCTAGCTTGGCATCACTGACTTTCTCGTGCTCTGCGCTGCAACTTTGCTTCTCATTCAGTTTCTGGCTCTGCGTCTGATTCTGATTCTGCCTCTCGTGATGTTGATTCGTGCTGCTCGTTACCAATGGGCGAGCATATTCACAGATGGTACGACTGTCCACAGGAGGGTAAGGACTCATCACAGGGGGTGAAGGAGGAAGCATACTGGTGCTGCTTGCTTCAGCTGGGTGAATTTCAGCAGCCACCCTGACTACTGAGTCCTTGTCAAGCGTCACAGTCACAGTGCTACTGGCTCTGATAGTATCACTGGGACCAGTATCTTTGGCACGCGGAACTCGAGATGGGTCGACTACCACACCCTCCTCCTCCTTTCCAGTTTCCGTGGTCGATATTTCCTCCGCCTCGACATCCATGCTCTGTGACGTGGTGGTCGACATATTGGTACTACTACGTGGAAGGGAAGTTGAAGAGGTCCCTACATTATATTCGTCCTTACTTCTCCGTGCGGCAATAGCATTCTCTGGCATTCTCTGGGCTTCTGGTGTCGATGCCTTCACTTGCTGTGGCGAATTCTCAGGACTCTCAATACAAGGGGTCAACGGCTGCCTAAGCACTTTACCTCCCTTCAAACTGCTTTCTCCGACACCGTCTTGGCCCATCGACGCACCAATGGATGATGATATGACTTTAACTCCTCCTCCTACTAAAGATAGCTTCAGAACCACCGGCGGCGATGGCGATGATGACACAGTTGTTAATGTGCTGCTGCTGCTGCTGCTTCTCAGGCTTGCACGACTCTTTGTACCTATTACTGCATCCTTTCTCCTTCCCACAACTGGAGCCACTCTCCCAAATGCCGAATAGTGCTTTTGCGGACGACGTGTTCGCCCGTCGACTGACTTTGACAGATTGTCTCCTTCATTCTGTCGAGTAGAGAAGTTGCGAAGAGCGTTCGGTCCAAAAAGAAGCGGGCTTCCTCCCCCTCCCCCTCCCCCGCCCCCTCCCCCTCCTCCTCCTCCACCACTTCCTCCACCAGAGCCACCTTTCCCTCCTACTCCCCCTCCAAACCTTCCAGCTCCTCCACTTCCAGTGGATGTTACCTCCTTCTCATTTCCGCTTCTAGCAGACCTCCTATTGTTGCTTCCACTCCCCTCCACTTCCTTATCCTTTCCGGAGAGTTTTGTCGTTGTCTCCTTGAGACGCATGTTCACCATCTTCATCTTCTCAAGCATCACCTGCTTCATCTCATCTGGAGAAGATAATGAACCAAGTAGAGAGGGTCGTTTGCCAGCCACATCCGCTACATGTCTTGTCCATCTCCCTTCCTGCTTGCGAGTATCCTCGTCTACTTTCGCTTCACTCCTTCCCTTCTTCGGCAGATATGATTGTTGCTTGCCTGTTACTACCGATCCCTCGGGGGATTGCTGGACTTCCATTTCCCCTCTTCCTCCTCCTCCTCCTCCCCCTTCTCCTCCTCCGCCTCCTCCTCTCCGTCCTGGTACTTCCTGTTGTTGATCACAAGCATCGCCTCCTCCTGCAGCTACTCCTCCTGTATGCCCTTGCAGTGTCCCAAGCTGCATTGTTTGCAGGTCAGCATTCTCCTGATCACTCCATGTTGGTGAGTCTACAGTAGCTGTGGCTAATTCTCTTTCCTCTCGCTGAGAACTAGCTTCAAGTTCATTCCTACTCCTCCACTTTTGGCCAATCTGACTGCTGTCAGAAACACACATGTCAGAAATGCGGTTGTCATCAACTGATTCTACTCGTTGCGCATCACCCTCTCCACTCCTATCTGCTACATTGTTACCCTCTCCATCAATCTGGGTCAGCTCTGTAACTTCTGCTTTGTGCAAACTATGGCTATAAATGGGCTTGGGGTCAGAATGGGACAGGGGGCTGCCCAACCTACTGCCAATCTCTTCGTCCTCCTGTCCTCTAATGTTAAGTTGAAGGTTGTCCTTCTCCTCCAGTACCTTGCCTCCCGCGTCTATTTCCCTACCTACTGTTACCAGATCCTTAGCTCGCAGAAACTTTTGACCAACTTGTGTGTCATTCATCAGAACATTTTCCTTCTCTTCTTCTCCTTTAGGTCCCCCTTCATCATCCAATTCTCTAGCTACCATCACTGGATCCTTACTTCCTACGGTTGTCTGGGTATCTTCCATTTCAGCATCGACACTGGGTCTCTCAAGAACGACCCTCTGTTGACCCTGGCTTCTTGCTCCATCTTCTGTCTTCGCATCTCCCTCCATCCCTCGCCGCTTCTCCCCTTCACAAACACTCTCCGCTTCTCTTCCTCCAACCAGAAGAGCTGATCCACACTCAGCCATTGCTTCTCCTCCTCCTCCTCCTCCTACTCCTCCTCCCACTCCTGCTCTTCCTTCCTCTCCTCCATTTTCCACATCTTCAGCTACACCATCAATCATTGTCATGCCATCAGCACACTCCCCCCTGCCTTCCGTTCGACCACCTGCAGCTGTAGCGTCAAGTCTGTAAGCGTCTACTATGCTTTTTTGATTTCCATCCCCCTCGACGGCATCAAGATCCATCTTTCCATCAGCCTCACCAAGTTCCATCTTTTCCTCAGGGTCTGCCTCCGCCGCTTCAGCTGCAGCATTGCCATCCACCCCGACACTGGGCAAACAACGACTGGGAGAATCGTCCAAGCTGTCTGGATGATCTGGCAAATCCACCTTAGCCTCCACTCCTCTCTCTTCTTCTTTTCCAATGGTCCATTGCACTTCTACCCCTGCAATTGTCAACCCATCCCCATGCAATCCCTTCGGCTCTTCAACGACCCCTCTCACCAATCCCAGAATCTTGTGCAGCTCATCCCCTCTTGATGCCAAGGACACCTTCCCTTTCGGACCTTTCTTGGCATCACTCTCCTGCCATTCGTCAACACCCTGCCTTAACAATGGGATATCTGTGGAGTCCTTCTCACGCGTGCATGCATTTGCAATCTCATTGTCTGCAGTCATGGCGGCATTGACAGGAAGAAGAGGCCGGGGATGAGGAAGAAGAACAGCATCCTCTACAGATTCTGGTCGATGCTCTGAGCGCAATCCAGACTTTTTTTCTCCCTCCTGCCTGCCCCCTCCCATGGCTGTTTGATGTCGGCTAGACAGTCTCCTTGCGTCCAAGTCTGAAGGAGAAGCCAAAAGAGGAGCCAGTGAAAGAGGAGCCGGAGAAAAAAGAGGAGGTGGAGAAACAGAAGGTGCAGAAAGAGGAGCATAGAAAGGAGGGGCAGAGAGAGGGGTAGGGAGAGACTCAGTACACACCGAATCCAGCTCATACTGGGTCCGCAGTCCTGCTTTGCCTGCCTCCACCTCCCTTGTCGATTCCGTCATTTCACTTTGGCTGGCTGTGCTCTCAGTCCGATTTTGATGATCGGAAAGACGGCCCGGGGTCTGGAGGGAAGACGCAATGCTGCCACTCATTCCGCCAGCAGTGACAGATGCAGTGGAAGACGTACACGAGACAAAGTTGACCCTCTTTGGAGTGTTCTCAAGCAAATCGTCTCTCGCAATCGCTCCCTTCCCTCCTGTCCCTCCACCTACTCCATCAAGTTGTTGCTGCTGCTGCTGCATCTTCTGCAACAGCTGAGGGTCCTTGCGGGCCAGGCTGTGCAAGCGCAAGGCCTCACGTAGCCGGGCCATGGCATCGGCCAACAGAAGGTCAGCTGAAGGCTGCGAAGGGTTGCGCAACGAAGTCTGAAAATCATTGACAGCACGTGTGCGTGACAGAACCTTAGCTTGACCAGCACCCAAGACGCGTTCAGCACCATACAAGCCCATAGCCGCACGATTGTTCTTATCCCGCGGATGCTGGTGCTGTTGCAGGTTGGGGTACCCACCTCCTAGCGACCCCCCATCTCCATGATCAGCAGACCCAGTTGCTTGGGTAGATCTCGATGGCAGTTCATCCTCCAACCCAACCCCGGGGCCAAGCCACCAGGCCAGACCCTGCCGCTTCTGATCCTGAGCTATGGCTGCCCTATTGCTCGAAACAGTCACTTTGATCCCAGCGACCTCACACCTCAACCATTCACACTTCCTCATAATTTGTCGAAGAATGTCAGCTGTCACAGGCTGAGACACGTGGCTCCGTTTCGAAGACTCTCGATAGGTGGTACTCCTCTGTGCTGAGTGCTGGTGGGGGTAAGACCCCGAGGGGGTCGAGCGGCCCAATGCTGACATAGGGGTCATGCGGCCCAACGCCACCATAGCTATAGGACCTTCTCGACACTTCGCGGCCTCCGTTCTCTTGCCAACTGATTGCCACCTGTCACCATTTTTTTTAGGGGCAACAACCAAAGCTACACAATGTCACCTTGTCTGATCGTCCAAAAAATCACAGTAGTTTTTAGCATTTTTTTGTGCCGACCACATCAGACCATTGATGATCCGGCGTCCTGGGGACACTGGACCATCTGATATGCCTCGATTTTTTTTCATTTTTTTCTGACCCTCAGATGTATTTTAATGGTACTTTCCGTCGAGACACATAGGATGGTCTGGAGTCCCCAGGACGCTGGACCATCAATGGTCCAATATCGTGGGCACAAAAACACACAAAAACACAGTTCTTTCTTGGATGCCCAATTTCGTGAAAATAGTAAAAATATGTCAATTTTAACGAAATGCCAGTTTAATAGCCATGTAACCTTATTCTGGCCATAAGGCCTCACCTTTTTTTTTCCTCCTTTTGATCAGAAGTCCTCACCTCTTTGAGTCTTTGCTCTCCTTTTTTTTTTTGAAGGCCTAAATATTAAGGCAACCAAGCAAACCAGATGTGTAACCAGCACATGAAGCTCCCCAACCCTCTTGGTTCTGATAAAAAATATATATGTAATGAGTTAAATCAACTTAAATGAGGTCTTTTTTTTTTGTTTTAATCAAATGCCCTTCTCGGGCACACAGATGACCTGGTTTTAGGCCCCCAGCAAGCCTCATGCCCGCCCTAAGTGAAGGCGGGCCTGAATATTCGAGAGAGGCCTACTTTTTGCCATTTCTCGAGTGTGGGGTATTAGACAGTTGCAGCACGCCAGTTGGCTACAGAACAACGTGAGCCTTCCAGGGCTCCTTCCAGAAGCAGCAGCTGCGTGGTACAGTTGAGCCCAGGGCTCGATCGGTTGAGGCCCTGGGTACACGCATTCAAAGGCCGACATGTCACGTAGCGGCTGCTGACCAATGAGAAAGCAGCTCCTGCATCACACACATGCCACAAGCCAATGAGATTGCACCGAACACTTGGACGTGCCTAACTGCATGGGGCCCAGGCCAGTATCTGAAACTGGGCGCAGATACTCTGCACCCACCTGAAGCTACTGGGCCCCTACACGCCAGACTCAGACCAGCCAGCAGCAGGGCTCACTTTCCATAAACGAAAGTGAGCGCCCAGGGGCAGGAGATTCAGGCATTGTCGCGTGAGCGCTGGCATGAGTGCTGGCAGGCCAGGACGCAGATGGCGCTTGGAGGTGAGAGGGACCTGCAGTGGCAGCTGGCATGCGGCGGCTGCCAAATTTGCGTCACTTTAATGGCAGATTATGCATAGATGTCTGCCCACTAATGACTGGCTAATAGACCACTCAACATTACAACAGAGAGGATTAACGTCACCCTGGTGCCGTTCTTGTCACATGGCATTCCCTTCCCGTAAATATTGAGAAACCATTGAGCACATCTTTACTCAGTATCCAGGGGTCATTCTTATGTGGCGTCGTTGGGACTGTATATGGCAAAGAATAACTGGCATTGAGTGGCCTTGGGAATGGAAAGCCCTATTACTAGGCCATTGGAATCCGGTTGACTTGTTTCTTTCAACCTTTCAGTCAAACATATTTCGTCTTGGTAGGAAGGCTGTAACATGGGCCATATGGCAAAGGAAGTGTGTACATGTAATGAAGGATGTACGCATGGAAGGGATGGAATTTTTCCAGAACATGAAACAATTCGTGGAAACAGAAATTTGTGCCCAATGGTCCAATCTTAAAGGCAAATGAAAATGTCTAACTCAGAAGAAAGACATCAAACAATCTATTCTCAAATTCACAATGGACTGGCTAGGGGGTTCACAGGAAAAGGGCTTGGGACGGGTGGGATGGCCTGATGAGAATGAGTCTGTGTTGCCTCTCAAAAAGAGTTACTTTTTGCAGTTTAATGATTGGTTTGATATCCAGCCAGGGGAATTCTTCAGAGATGCTGCATGCTTTTTTGAGCTGTTCCCCCCCTCTGACCTAGCCTCGGTGGATCTTCATGGGTTTGGTGGGGTGGGAGATGAACAATGATGGATGAATTTTCATTATCAGGTCATTGAAGGGGTAGAACTGCTAGATTTACACACTCTATATGGCAGTCTGTTCAGAACTGAAGAGGTGGTTCGGTCCCACTGGTTCTCATAAAACTGTCATGATTGACATTTTGCTATTCTGTATACGGGATGCTGGACAAGGTTTGCAACAGGTGATACTGCCCACCAATAGACTGGAGTCTCAACTGGGTGATTAGGAATGGCTGCTCTTATCACCATTCCTAATGACTTCAGTTGTGTTTGTTTGAAAAAAGAGAAAGAAAAAGAAATAAAAAAGAATAAAAAAAGAATAATAAAAAAAGGAATACCATCAATGATAGCCTCCACTCTCTCCGGGGTCCCATCATTCCTTCGTTTAGTACCAAGTCTAAAAGTGAACTATCCTTAGAGAGTCTTCTGTTTCTTTCCCACCGAATCCAAATCAGAATCACAGAGATGGGCATGGGATTCGTCGTTGGATGCACAGCTGCTGGAAATTTTGTCATGGTCCAAATACTCCAAGATCATGCAAACGAACCTCAGATCCCTACAATGGTAGATCCAGCACCGATGTCTCCGCACCCCGGACTGGCTTCCAACGCCATAGGTTGCCAGGGAACCTCTGCTGAAAATATCGGTGATTTTATCCATTGTAGAGACAATGCCTGACATTGTGAGGATATGTCCAATAGCCCTAATTCCCCCTTAGATTTGGGTTGAATGAGGGTAAGCCAGGCCACTCTTGTCTTGTTGAGTGACCAGATTGTTGAGTTGTACCAAATAGCTGCCAATACTAAATTATTAATGAGTAAGGCCCTCTCAAATAAAGAAGTATGTTGATTTTCCATTGGCTCATCTTTTCTAATGCGGGTTTTGTTATGCATTCATCATTCGTGAAAGGCATCCCTAGAGCAATAAGGGAGACACCCAAAACCGTAATTGAGGATTCTAGAAATAACCATTTCACCCTAGGTTGTTCAGGTGGTCTGACAGCGTTGGAATGTATCCACCAGCCTTGTGTCTTGCTACCCCAATAAACCACCATATCTGATACTGACGTAAATTTATCATACTTGCGGCACATCGTCATGCGCTGCACCCCGCACACGCGCTGCACCGCGCGCACACAGGGTGCGGCGCACCCCAAAAATAAGGGTCGACGAAAAAAAAAAATTGTTGCTGAGGGGTGTTCTGGGCCCGGGTGGGATGTCGCGTCACAGACCACAAAAAGAAGAAAAAAAACAATTTGAGGCCGCGCGGGGCCTCGGAAAAAAAAAAGAGGGGGCAGCTGCAGTTAGTTTGTTTTTGAAGTTTTGAATTTGGAATGCCCCTCGCTGCCTGGATGAACCCCGGTAGTCCAGCTTTGTGCCCTTCACGCCAGCCATGCGTTGCCCGTCGCATGGTTGCCTCCACGTCTCCTGTGCAGCAGCAGCTGTCGAATTCATCGTCGTCCAGCCATAGCCAGGGCACAACAGTCATCGTGAAGGAGCCGAAGAAGCAGCGGGAGAAGCGCGGCCTCAGCTTGTAAAGTTGCCAGGTGGGTAACCACCAGCCCCTCTCTCTCTCCTCTCTCTCTCTCTCTCTCTCTCTCTCTCTCTCTCTCTCTCTCTCTCTCTCTCTCTCACACACACACACACACACACACACACACACA